AAAATCAAAAAAATTTTTTTATTAAATTGGCTAAGCCACAATGTCGATCATCCAAATTCGGGTTTGTCCACCATGCTCCGAAAGGTACAAAAGAGTTCGCCAGGGCCACAAATTGTTGAATCGTCTAGCTTCTGCATGCAGCTTTATTGCTGTAAAAATTTCTTAAAATATGTAACAAAGCAATATACTGGTTATTTAAATAGATAGGAGATTGCTTATGTGCTTATGTGCTAAAATAATTCTAACGTAAACTCTAACCCCTAACTCAGGCCGATGTTGTGCCTATAAGTCACGTGAAATGGGTGCCGTAGTTTTCCGCATTAAAATATGGCTGTGGCGATGATTCTGATGTGACCCGTACTTTTGGTGGTCGCCCTGGCGAACTCGGTACAAACCCGCACGTATATAACTGACCAATCAAAATCATTTATTTTATCACGTAGTTTAATGCCATGCTGACACGAGCTTTGGAAATGGCATGCCATCTGACAGGATAGATTAGTGGAGATCAATTTCTCCCTAATGAAATGGTAACTTACGTACTAAGTAAAACTGCCCGATGATAATGTTGCTATATTATAGTTGGCTTGTATTATTGCTTAATGCCTAGCTCCGGGCCTATTCCGACCCTAAATTTTGGTCGATCTGCTGAATTTTGTTTGCTCCACTAACGCTAATCTAACGCAAGATTTTTTAGCCGTGCTACACGCCCTAGTTACGTCACATTGAAATTCGAGTTGTAGATGCGTAAGGTTAAAATAGAAGATTTACGTCAAACTAATTTGATAATTTATGTCAAAGAAAAAAAAAACCAAATCTATGGGCTTTTAAATTTATACAGTACCTTGCCGGACTCAATTCTTAAGATTTTTAGGGTAAGTTTTAGTTGAAGCCGGAGTCTGGTTTTCCTTTGGCATCAATTATACTGCATTATACAAGTGACTGAAATATTCAGAAGCTATTACATAACTTGTTTTGAGTAGGCCGAAATAGTTTCGGTCGCATGTATGTACTGTATGGTTAAAACAGAAAATAGTAAATATTCTGACTGCGTTAATAATTTAATGTTGTTTCTTTGATCGTTAAAATACTATATACCTAATTTTAAATTTTTAATTGATAACGAAATGTAGAGAAGTAATGTTAATGAAATAAAAAAGACCATTAACTTTTCATAATTTTTGCGCTTTTCTTTCCTATTCGATGCCAAGTTTTTGATATCTTGGCATGAAAGCTTGTGTAAAATTGCATGAATATTTCAATAGCTGCTTAATTATGATTTTGATTATTACATTCATTTTACACATCGCGTAAATGATAATCTTTTGTGGTTTGACGCATCTCCAATCGAATTTCATTCTGACGCAACTCAATTTTAAACCTACGCCTCTTCGAATCTGACGCACGACATTAATATATAACGATAAGCGATGCAATTTAATAAACTCAATTTCATCATCATTATTATATTTACAAGTGACATCAGTTGAATTTTCTATGGGCGATGTTAGAGTTGTTTAGCGCAGTGTTGGGAAGATTACTATGTCCAATTGTTTTCAAAGTTAATTGGACATATGTCCAAAACTAAATGTGGCGCAGTTTTTTGTCTAATTTCCCAACACTGGTTTAACGTACCCAGAATGTTGATATCGACATGAAATGCATCAATTTTCATGATAGCGTGCAGGACGCCCATTATTTCGGGATTTTATGGTAAACGTGATTGTTAAGCAAATTAATTTTGGTGGTATGATATATGAATGGATGAAAGATCTTTGACGAACAATATATATAATTAGATAGTGTGAATTGTAGTCTTTTTATATAGTGAGAAAATTGATCCTTAGGTCAATGTTAATAGTTTGTGATACATTTCGCTTTAATCATTTCGTGTATGAATAAATCTGACGATAATTAAACAATTCCATCAGAGAATAGAAAATTCGAACAGAAATTCAAAGTTTTATTAAAATATAAAGCATAATTTTTGAGAGAACCAAGATTAATACATATATTTTTTTTTCTATTCTAAACTAAATATCAATACATTTTATAATAATGTGTAAAAAAGAAAAAATATCTAGATTTTAAATATGAAAAAGAATGTGAATAATTAAATACCGATGACAATAGGAGTCAATCCATTAAGAAGGCCGGTAAACGGGAGTAAACCAAAGTCACTGAAACCGTTAATACCGTTAAAGTCATTGGCAAAAGAAAATGGATTTGATGGACTAGCAAAAGAGCTGGCCAAAGGAAAAGTACGTTTCTCAGTAGGAGTATCACTTTTCTTAATGATCGGGATGCCGTCGGGAGTGGTGCGTTTTATAAGCGGAACTTTAGTGACGATGAAAGGAGGTGTACTTTGACGTTTATTCACATTCGCGTTGATGTTGGAGGATTGTGAACTGATAGGAGCACATTTTTGTGATTGTAGCAAAGGTATAGAAGAAAGAGATGAGTATAAGTAAAGAGACTTTGACCATGTTGATATTGAATTGTATCAAAATATATATTTTTTTCAAATAAAAAGAGTTGAAGAACACAGAGACACTTAGGTTGAAAAGACGCGTATTTATAATGATATGGAAATCAAACTAAGCTCGGGCACACTCAATGGATTGAATACATCGTTCTTGATGAAGATACGTTAATATAAGATGGTCAATGTTATAATAGTTTATTGATTTGCTACACAGAAAATTGTCCTTATTAAGGCATTCATGATATCATGTACATTTAATGCGCCTGAAAAAAAGTCAGATATAAAAAGCAATAGCGATTGATGGGGAAAAACGGCATTTATGAATGCTGATCGCATTGCGAAATTTCAAGATAATTGCGAGGGAGAGATTTCAATCGTCACAATCAATTATCTCATATTCTGAACCGTTGGGTATTAGTAAAAAAAAAGGTTTTTCTTGTATACATACCAATCAGGTATCTTATTAGAAAATAAGCACCCACCCTCTACCCTACTTTTTTTAATTTCATAAAATCTTTACTAAAGTTATTCCGCTAATCTGATGTCGAAAAAGGTAGGGTAGTTAGGGACACGATTTAGAACAGTGTTTAAAATGCCAGTCTAAAAAATTTCGCAGGCCAATCAAATTTCAAGATCAGGTGTAACGTTGCACGA